AGTTCCACAGAACCATAATGCCCATCATTCATAATTTATTCTATAAACGTATATTTGCATTTGTATACGTATTTTGTTTATGAACACAGCAGAAAGTTCCACAGAACTATAACATAAATTCATAAATTTGTATCATGTATTATATAGATGTAATAATTGTAATTTAATAATTATGAATGTTGGGTTATTTAACTTTCTGATGCATCAATGATAAAAATCACAGATGAACATTAGTCTTAAAATAAAATAAAAAGTCTTATAATTTGCAAAACATTGTTTAATTAAAATATGCTCTGCGTCAAGAAAATTTAATCATAACTTAATAGTATATTTAATAGTTTTTAATTTTATATTTCAATAATTAAAAGTCACTGTAGATCAATGAACACTGTGCTCTTTAGGTTAAACTACAATAAATACATTAAATCAATAAAACAATAAATCATTAATATCTTAATAAAAGTGTTAAAAATATTTTTATTTTTATTAAATCATAAAAAATGAGGGGAAAAACACAACAAAAATACAAATAAATAATTGTACAATAAAAACTGTTATAATAAAACCCTTACTAAAGTAGTAGTTTGGGAATCCATGTTCTGGAGGTATGTGGTGCCTCGCCAACTGCTGAATATAAAATTATATTTCACAGAAATCCACAGATGCTCCTTCAGCACTGCAAATGTACAGTCTAGACATGACTATGCATGACAGCAGTCTAGATGCCCTTCCCAGAACCCATTTCCATCTCCCTAAGGCTACAGGTAAATAAAATGTCAAACACAGCACCGGCATTATGCAGCAGCTGCTATTATCTTAAGTGTTACAAAATGTGACGATTACTGAGCCAAAACGGAGGTCAAATACAATCCAATGCCAATCAGAAGAGAACATTCTCCAAGACTAAACGCAACGGTAAATACAAAAAGGCTGGCAGGCAGCCCCTTCAGATAGATTATTAAATTGACTTGTAAACAAGGCCAACCCTGTGTCAGTTTGTCTAAACAGGCTGATGAAGAGCAAGTAGAGGGATGCACCATCCAGACACGGCGCAGATGTCACCAGCATGATACCGAGTGTGGTTTTCTCCCCCATAATCCTCTCATTGACACAGCGTCACACTGACAAGCCTGCCTCCTGCACTCGGCCGCTGTCCTCCTACTGAGCTAAATTAATTTGTTCATTCACTCCCCACATTATCCCCCTGAGGAACCAATACATTAGAGCTGATGAAATGCTCACAAAAGCAAGATGTCTCTCCCAATATTACAGCAGCACTTCAGGAATACAAAAAACCTGGCAGCTCCGCAGCATTCGGTAAAGTATTATTCTGACTGTCAGACGCTGCCACGACCAGTGTTGGGGAAAGTTACTTTTAAAAGTAATGCATTACAATACTGCGTTACTCCCTAAAAAAGTAACTAATTACGTTACTTAGTTACTTTTTATGGAAAGTAATGTATTATATTACTTTTGCATTACTTTCACGTTACTTTTTAAATATGAACAAAGCTTGATTGTTTTTAATATAAGAAGTTCTATTTACAGCAAATGTAAAAACCCCTTTCACACCAAAAAGTGTAATGAATAAACCTCAGGCTGAAGGAAAAGTAAATTCACGTCTGTACAGTAGAACGCAGGAGAAGAAACACTCTTCAGCAATAAAAAAAAAACAATGAAGCAAAACAAATTAACTGGCGTTAGTTACTTTTTTGAAAAAGTAACTCCGATATTTTCTTGTAAATTAAAAAAGTAATGCGTTACTTTACTAGTTACTTGAAAAAAGTAATCTGATTATATAACTCGCGTTACTTGTAATGCGTTACCCCCAACACTGGCCACGACCATCCCTTTGTCTGTTTCTGCTCGTCCGGCTGAACCTGGACGTGACGGCGTGGAAGAGCTTTGTGTTGACAGGAGCCTGAGTGTGAGAGCATTTTGGCCTCTTGCTGTATGGATCCTGCTTCTTAAATACTGCCCACTGAGTCAGGCTGAATCAATTAGGAGGCCTAATCTGGGACAGATTAGGTTTGAGACAGAAAAACTGACTGGACTCTTAACATTTGAGTTTGCAAGACTCTGAGACAGGAAGCAATGTTAGAAAAACATGTTTTACTTAAGTAGTGGTAATCAATTTGATGACGCTCATACTTGAAGTGAATACACAAAGTAATACACAAAATGCTTAATGGTCATTCTTTGGTTAGTCTCAGCAACATACCTCTTCTAACATTGATTTTTACCATAGGTGTTTAAAAAATGCTTCAACAAAGAGTTAGAAGCCTTACTTAAAAGACCAAAACAAAATCATAACACTTGATTTATTTAGCCATGAAGAAAGTATTTTAAAACGTAATAAAAGAGGTATAATTACTACACAAGGACTGCAAATAATGTACACTACCATTTAAAGGTTTGTGGTATGAATTTATTTAATACACGAGTTTCACAATTTGAGTTGAATTACTGAAATAAATGAACTTTTCCACGACATTCTAATTTATTGAGATGCACCTCAATAAATTAGAATGTTGTGGAAAAGTTCATTTATTTCAGTAATACATTTTAATGTTCAAAATGTTCAGAGGATTGTTTTTCTTTTCCTGCTTGTAATTATTCAAATTCTATATAGCTCACGTTTTTATAAACATTTTGTTTAATTTACCACGTTGACAATAACGTATATCTTCAACATACATTGTCTATGACCAAAAATCTAAGATATGTTTTCAGTGGACTTTTACATTTTTCTTTGCTTGAGAAAACAAAAATATACAGTTATAGGGGTTTTTTTTCTTTTGATTTAGTCGAGTTGGTTTTGCATTAAACACAATGTGATTTTCGGCAGTTGAGATCTGACAGCAACAGTGCATTTTTCCGCTTGGGTGAGCGCTTCGCGGACATCTTACCTCGCACATGAAATCAGCCGCAGGCCTGCGAACCAATGAGAATGCACTACAATCCTAAAGCGTCATAGCGACAGAGCGGAGGAGACAAAGCTGCGGAGAATCCGCTCGCCCGGACGCTTCCGTAACTGACGTAGATTCACAGAAAATTACTGCCGTTTGGCAAATAATTCATATTACGTACTTATTCCTAACTCTTTAAGCTTTAAGTTACATTTTAAATGACTGTAGCGTCTGGACCAATCAGACACACCATTTTTCATTTGATTTAACAAATCAATTATTCATTAGATTAACAAACATTCACAGACCCCTCACCCAATAAACATACTGGGTGCCAAGTTGTCTGTGAATGAGGCCCAGGACCCTGGTCCCCATGGCAACCACG